CAAAAAAGTCTATACACAGATGTTACCCTTTCACGCATTTTTCACTGACAAAAGGAAGAAAACACTAAAAATAAAAGTGAGGATTAAGGTGATGTGTTAATTCTCTTATCTAAAGTTCTTGGGCTAAATCCTGGAGATTATATTCTCTCAAATTAAAGTGATGTAGGTAGTGTCAAGAAACAGGAAAAATTCTGCTATCAGGATTATTCTGGGATTTTAGATTTTTCAGGATTTTTTTCTGTTGAAATCATCAGAGATTCACAAATTAATGTAGGAGAAAGATCTTCATGGCTCAGGTGGGAAGTGATAAGAAGTGTGGCAAACTAGATAATATAAGTACATAACATAAGTACATAAACACAAATTCAATTTAAAAAATATGTGCCATAAGAAACACCATAAGACATCGTCAGGGAAATGCGAAGATATCACCTCACATCTGTTTGAATGGCTATTATAAAAAAGACAACAAATAACAAGGCAGGGATGCGGAGAAAATGGAACCCTTGTGCACTATTGGTGGGAATGTAAATTGGTGCAGCCACTGTGAGAAACAGTATAGAGGTTCCTCAAAAAATGAAAAAATAGAACTGCCATATGATCCACTTCTGGGTATATATCCAATGGTAATGAAATCACTATCTCAGAGACAACTCTGCACCCCGCCCCCATGTTCACGGTGGCATTATTTACAAAAATCAAACCATGTAAGCAATTTAAGTGCCCATTGACAGGTGATTGGATAAAGAAAAGGTGGGCAAAGAAAAGAAGAAAATCCTGCCACTTACAATATGGAGGAAACTTAAGGGCGTTATGTTAAGTGAAATAAGTCAGGCAGCAAAAGACAAATACTGCATAATCTCACTGATACATGGAAGCTGAAAAAAACCAAACTCATTGTAACAGAGATCAGATTGGTGGTTGCCAAGGGTAAGGGGGTGGGGGGGTGAGGTAATGAGTAAAGGTGGTCAAAATGTGCAAACTTCCAGTCATACGATAAGTAAGTTCTGGGAATGTAATGTATAGCATCATGACTATAATTAAGCATAATTTATCGTATATTTGAAAGTTGCTAACAGAGTAGATCTTAAAAGTTCTTATCATAAGAAAAAAATCATAACTCTGTGAGGTGATGGATGCTAACTAACCTTATTGTGGAATCATTTAACAGTATGTACATATATCAAATCACTACGTTGTACATCTTAAACTAATACAAAGTCATTTGCCAATTATATTTCAATAAACTTGGGGAAAAAGGAGAGGAAAAACAAACAAGTGTGTTGGACACTGAAATTAAAAATATAATACTATCTGGGGCGCCTGGGTGGCTCAGTCGTTAAGCGTCTGCCTTCAGCTCGGGTCATGGTCCCAGGGTCCTGGGATCGAGCTGCACATTGGGCTCCCTGCTCCACAGGAAGCCTGCTCCTCCCTCTACCACTCCCCCTGCTTGTGTTCCTTCTCTCGCTCTGTCTCTTTCTGTCAAATAAATAAATAAAATCTTTAAAAAAATAATAATAATACTATTTACCATAATATTAGCTAAAAAAGAAGTATTTATGTATAAATCTAATAAAACATGTATAGGACTAACATACTAAAAATTATAAAATGTTAATGAAAAAATTTTTTAAAAATCTAAATAAATGGAGAGATAGAAATGCTCGTGGTTGGGAGATTCAACATAGCAAGGATTTTAGTTACCCTCTAAATGATGTACAGGTTTAATGTAATTCCTATCCAAATTCCAACAAGGCTTTTTGTAGATATAAACAATATTATTCTAAAATTTACATAGAATAGAAAAACCAGCGGAATAGAATAGCTTCAATAATTTTGAAAAAGAAGAAATATAGAGGAAGAATTAATCTATCTAATTTCAAGACCTGCTCTATAGCTAGAATAATCAAGATGGTGTGGTATTGGGGCTCCTGGGTGGCTAAATCAGTTAAGCATCTGCCTTCGGCTCAGGTCATGATCCCAGAGTTCAAGCCCCACATCAGGCTCCCTGCTCAACAAGGCGTCTGCTTCTCCCTCTGCCTACTGCTCCCCCTGCTTGTGCTTTCTCTTTCCCTTTCTCTTGCTCTCTGACAAATAAATAAATAAAATCTTAGAAAAAAAAAAAAGACAGTGTAGTAATGACAAAAGGACAAACATAGATCAATAGAACTGAATAGAAGTCTTAGAAAATATTTCCAATAGGCTTTTGACAAAGTTGAAAAAACAATTCAATGGAGGAATGATAATTAAAAAAAAAATGCTGGAAGAGATGGACATCCTTTGGTGACACATTTAGCTTCTATCTACACTTCACACCTAATACAAAAATTAACTCAAAATGGATTACTGCTTTAAATGTCAAATGTAAAAATTTATTAAAAGACAGGATAAAATTTGTCATGATCTAGGGCTAGGCAAAGAGTTCTTAGACTTGACATCAAAAGCACGATCCATAAGAGGAAAATCAGTAAATTGGACTTCATTAATATTAACAACTTTTTGCTCTGTGAAGTATGCTGTTAAGTGGAAGAAAAGACAAGTCACAGAGTGGGATAAAATATTTGCAAACCATATATATGAGAAAGGACTAATATCTAGAATTCTCAAACAACAACAACTACATAAAAAACAGTCCCATTAGAAAATGGGCAAAAGACATGAAAGGACATTTCACTGAAGAGGATATACAGATGGCACATAAGCACATGAAAAGATGTTCCATGTCATTAGCCATTAGGGAAATTCAAATTAAAACCACAATGAGATATCACTAAACGTCTACCAGAATAGATCAAATAAAAAATAATGACAGCATCAAATGCTGGCAAGGATGTACAGAAATTAGATCACTCATGCATTGCTGATGAGAGTGGAAAATAATCCAACTATTCTGGAAAATAGTTTGGCAGTTCCTTAGTAAACTAAACATGCAACTACCATATGACCCAGTGATTGTACTACTGGGCATTTATCCCAGAAAAATAAATCTTATATTCACCCAAAAACCTGCACACAAATGTTCGTAACAGCTTTATTGATAATAGCCAAAAACTGGAAACAACCCAGATGTTCTTCAGTGAGCGAACAGTTACCAACCGATGGTACCTCCATACCCAGGAGTATTTCTCAGCAACAAAAGGGACCACATTATTCACAGGCACAACAACTTGGATTAATCTCAAGAGAATTATACTGAATAAAAACATACTAGTCCTAATAGGTTACATACCCCTTAATGTAACATTCTCAAAATCACAAAATTATAGAAATGCAAAGTAGTAGCTCTTGGGGGTTAAGAAGGGAAGTGGCTGTAAAGCTACAAAGGGCAGTATGAGGCATCTTCGGGACACAAAGTCTCTATCATACCTTGACTGCATCACTGACAATATCCTGGTTGAGGTTTTGCAATATGTTACCATCGGGGGAAGCTGAGTAAAAGGGGTACTTAGGATTTCTATTATTTCTTACAAAGGCATGTGAATCTATAATCATCTCAAAATAAAAAGTTTTGGGGTGCCTGAGTGGCTCATCGTTAAGCGTCTGCCTTCGGCTCAGGTCATGATCCCAGGGTCCTGGGATCGAGCCCCGCATCAGGCTCTCTGCTCAGCGGGAAGCCTGCTCCTCCCTCTTCCACTCCCCCTGCTTGTGTTCCCTCTCTCGCTGTGTCTCTCTCTGTCAAATAAATAAAATCTTTAAAAAAAATTAAAAAAATAAAAAGTTTTATCAAAAAATAATTTACTGTGCTCACCCACTCTCTCCTACCCAATAATTCTTCTCCCAAGTATATATATACTCAAAAGAAATGAGAGGTAAAATCAAACATGAGACGTGTACAGGGATGTTCATAGCATCTTTTTTATAAGAGCACCATTTGGAAACAATCCAAATGCCTAGCAGCAGAAGGAGAGATAAACAAATTGTGATATATCCATACAAAATATTACACAGCAATAAAAAAAGAACTATTTCTATATGTTCCAACATGGGTGAATCTCCCAGATATAATGATGAATTAAAGGAGCCAGACACAAAAGTGTACATACTGTATAAGTCCAATTTCATGAAGCTCAAGATCAAGCAAAGTAATTGACAATGAAAAATGTCAGAACAAAGGTTACTGCTGAGGAGGGAGGTGTTGATTGGGAAGGGGCACAATGTCTTTATCTTGATCCAGGTAGTGTGAAACAGATACACCTAAATGTCAAAATCCAAAAAATTGCGCCCTTAAAATTGTACCTTTGTGCAAGCTACACCACAATCAAACAAATTTAAAAGATGCCAAATAATTTAACATAGAACAAACCAAAAATACTGTGCTAATCAAATAACATACCTCTGTAGCCTCCGGTGAAACTGTATATAACCTGTGGTCTAGAAGAATTTTTCACCTCAATTTAGAAATACTATAAAACACAAAGACAGCTGGATATCAGGAATTAGACTAGAAATGGGGCCATCAATCTTCCATCCAGCAGTTGAACCAAGGGCAGTAGGCGAGTAGCACATAAGGAAACAGATGCTAGGACCAAGAACAATTACCCTCTCTGCAGTAAGCTCCAAGATGGGATAAGCCTCATATACAAGCATGAGAAAATTAACAACAGAAAAATGGAGCGTACAAACAAACAAAGAACGAAACAAAAAGCAGTAAAAGGAAAAGCAGAGGGGCGCCTGGGTGGCTCAATCGTTAAGCGTCTGCCTTCGGCTCAGGTCATGATCCCAGGGTCCTGGGATCGAGCCCCGCATAGGGCTCCCTGTTGGGCAGGAGGCTTGCTTCTCCCTCTCCCACTCCCCCTGCTTGTGTTCCCTCTCTCGCTGTGTATCTCTCTGTCAAATAAATAAATCAAATCTTTAAAAAAAGAAAAGGAAAAGCAGAATTCATTCTAAAGACTTGAGAGAAAATCCCCGAATGTGATTCCTCATTTGACCTAGAACGGCAGTGGGGCGGGGAGTTTCACCTCTTCAGCATTACTGAAAAACCTTGACTTTGGTGAAAACACAGTCTTATGAAAAAAAAGGTTAAAAAGCTACAAACCAAAGTTAAGAAGCAATGAAGCATATGAAAAAAATGAGCTGGGTCCTCTAAGGAATGAATACCAGAAAAGTAAGTATGTAACAGTAAGCCGTAAATACATCACTGGACCTGGTGAAGGGTAGAAATAACATAGTCACTGATACAGAAGACAACCTGAACTGTCCTCTAAGAATGCAGAGACAAGGACAAAGCAATGTAAGTGATAAGGTCTCAAATGGAAAACAAAACCAATGAAAGCAAAGCAACCGACAAAAACCACAGATTCAATGTAGAACTATAGGTGTGATTCAGGACAAAACCAGGATGTTATAAAAAAGCAATAAACACATAATTAGACAAAATTCACCAATAAAAAAATGAACGAAAAAAAATCCAATTCTGTTATATGCAAACAGAAAGTATTAAGCATGTACTAGACCAAACTGAGGAAAATAGATGCACACCTAACTATACGCAGGCTAAATATTTAAATAAGCTGGATTTATTTTAAAAAGCTCTTAGGTGCTGTGACCATCCTTAGAAGTGGTGGTAGCTCGCAAATCAACAATTCCTCCGCTGTACTTACCTTTCTCCATCCCAGGTTGGGCAGAAGCAGCCAATGGGCCCACCTGTGTTCATAACCAACCAATGAAAATTGACTCAAGGGGACGGCAGATTTGGTTCCATCCCTTGAGAGATAAAAAGGAAAGAGAATATCTCTATACCGGGAATATTTGCAGAACTTTTTCTCCCAAATTATGTTTGTAGGCAAGGAGAAGGAAGAATAAATAGGAAAATACATGGTTTGACTAGAACCCAAGTATCCAGAGCTCTTGAGTGACAAGGACTAGAACAAAGATGCTCTTTTTTTTTTTAAGATTTATTTGTTTATTTTAGAGAGAGAGAGAGAGAAAGAGCATGAGTGTGGGGAGGTGCAGAGGGAGAGGGAGAGAGAGAATCTCCAGCAGACTCCCAGCTCAGTGCAGAGTCCAACATGGGGCTCCATCTCATGACCCTGCGATCATGACCTGAGCCTGAGCCAAAATCAAGAGTCGGGCACTCAACCAACTGAGACACCCTGGTGCCCCAAAGATGCTTCTGTTGAAAGGGTATAGACCCTACATCTCACCCCCAGATATACATACACATATCATGTACCCGTTTACATTATTTAGGGCCAAGAGAGGTCCCCAGGGAGAATTCAAGGGGGAAAAAAAAGGTCACAAACGCTGTGAACCTTGTGGCCCAGCACATAGAGATATACATGGTAGATTAGAGGGAGGTGGTAGGGCAGTGGGGATGGCAAGTTCCAGCAGAATCCAAGAGGGGAGCTGGGCTGGGCAGAGGCAACCCTGGGGGAGAACACCCTGTAAGAGAAGGGGAAATTCATACATGAGCCATAGCCGGCACACTTGTCTGAGCCTGGAGTGGGGATCTAGATATAACATGTGGCCAGCCAGGTGCTAGAACTTATCCAATGTCAGCTTTCCTGGCTGCCTGAGTGACCCTGTGGTACCTGGCTCTGGGCAGGTGCATACGATGTATGACCATCCTGGGCACTTGGCACCTTCTCAATGGGACGCATCTTGTATGAGAATAAAAAATAAGGGGGAAGCTTTGTCCTTTTCACTTGGAAAGGGAGAATCATCCTTTCATGGCACCACGGGGATTGAAATGACAGCAATGAATTTTCTTAATAATGTGTGTACCAAGATGCCATGGCAGGTGGTGGATTGAGGTGAACAGGAATCGAGATGAGGGACTGTGAGAGCAGCAGTAACCACTAACCTGCAGAATGCTGCTCAGAAGGACAAACCCAAGGTCCTGGGACAGGAAGGCAAGCATCATACACAGGAAGCAGGCCTGGGAACTCTTAAAATCTGGGAGGAAGAAGTCTGTAAATAATTGCAAGGCAAGTAGGTGGTTAGGGGGATTAAGAGCATCTTATTTAAGGTTATGAATACATTTTGTCATTTAAACCCAGGTTGGCAAAGCAAGACACATACTAGTTACCCTACAGAGATCAATGATCCCAACTTATCTCCCCAAGTGATGCTTAAATTTTCATCATCAAATGTATTTTCCTAGGGTTGAACATTACCATCAGCCCAAAGGCTGATTATAATTGTAGAAATATTGCAAAGGGGAGTAAGCATGAAAAACAATGAGGAAAATAGGAGTCATTTATGTGAGAATTATACTAGATTAAAGACGGACATAAATCTTTGGCACTGCTCTTATCAAATGGTGGGACCTGTTTAACCTTTCCTTGACTTCTTTGACCAAAACTGGATAGCCAAACTAATGATACACCAGTTCTGGGCCTGGCCTTGAAAAAAAGCTAGTAACTGCTTTCTAAGTCTCCAGAAGTCTTGAGTGGGCATGCAAGAAATCCAACTACCCGACTGGAGATATCCCCTAGAGGGCCCTGAATCTACATAAGGAATGAGTTGAGCCCAGCTTTCAAGCCATCCCCACCCAAACCACTGCTGTGTGGCTGAAGTCTCTTGACCCTTCCAGACTAGACCAGCTGAACATCACTGGATCACCCCAGTCATGACCATGTGAAACAGAATAACTGCCCAGCAAACACTTGACTGAATTCTTGACCCATGACATTGTGAGCTACAATATGAAGGGTTGTTGTATTAAACCTACTAAGTTTGGGGGATTGTTGCATAGCAATAGATAAATAGTACAGTAGTATAGGTTTCACATGCCACATAGTCCACCCAAGTCTACCCAGCACCCTCCTCTTGCCTCACCGCCTCCTGGGGTTTTTCTGTGTGTACGCTCATTGTGTAGATTCTCCTGAGAGAATATAGGCTCCATGTCTTGGAGAAGGCCATAGGGATGCCACCAGGAAGCACAGAAAGAGCTCCTTCAGTGGTAGAGGAAGAAGGCCCTTAGTAGGGCTGCTTTATTCCCCTTCTCAGAACATTCCCTGAGATCTGCCTCCGTTTGCACGCACCATCTTCATACAGGAAGGTCCTACCTTGGTTTCTGAACGAGCAGCCCCTCTGTTCATAGTCTGCCTTCATCAGTTAGAAGAGATGAACCTGTCTGATGAGACTGAACAGGTGAATCCAAAAAGCCCCAAACATCTAGATTATTTTTGGTGCCTATTATATCACTCTTTATTCTGTTGAAAATAGCTAACATCTATGCAGGTCACTTTCTTAGTTATAAATTGGAAATAACAACATCTACCTTGCTGGTACTTCAGGACTATGCTAAGATTCAAATGAGATGATGTGGGTGGAAGCTCTTTGTAAACTTTAAAATGTTGTGCACTTGCAATCTGTTATCATCATTATCATTACTATTCAGGAATTAGTAAATTATAGATAGTGCTGGGACATGTGGGCTTAGCATTGTGTGATCTTAAGCAATTCAGTTAACATCTTAGCAATTTTCTCATCCCTAAAGTAAGTGTTTACTAAATAATATCTAAGGATATCTCCAGCTTGCAAATACTGTGGCTGTGATTTTTAAGAACCCATGTTTGGCACAGGCAAGGTTGTGCACGTTGTTCAAAAACAAATGTGACTCTATTGTCACTGGCTAAAAATTCATAATATGGTTGTTAAGTCGTACTTCAAAAACAAATAATACTTCAAATTAACCTTTTAAATACAAATTCCCTGGAACCTGAATATCCTTGAAGGGAAATTTGCCCGCTACTAGAGCATAATGTGCCAGTGTCTTCTGTTTACCCCTCCAGATCCACTCTCTGCTCTGGCAGGCTGACTTGTATGGACCACATCAATGTACTCCCTTGCTTCATGACATATGATTGGGTTCTGCTAGTCTAGAGGCCCACCAAGAGGTGGAGGGAGAGAGAAGAGAGAAGTCAAGGTATTTATTACTTCTGCTTCCTCCCTATGGGGTCATCTGGAGATGTCTGTTCCCTTGACCCATGGGCACAGTGTCTCTCAAGCCTGTCCTCTCCAAAGACACTATCCTTCCAAGTTATGCAAAGTGCTCTCTGCCCTTGCCTCTTTGCCCTAGGCTCAGATGTAACTAAACCTGGAAGACTTCACAATCCGTTTGTGGGCTAGGCAGCCTCCAGGATGCCCCCCTTACTCTGTGATCCTGTTTTACAGTAATCGCATCCTTGTAGAATCCCATTCTCTTGAACGTGGGCTGGATTTATTGACTCACTTCTAACAGAATACACAGGGGATATAGAATGACACTTTTGAGACAAGGTTATGAAAAGGTTATGAATTCTATATTGGCCATTCTTGCTTGGATCCCTTGCCTGGGGGAAGCCGGCTACCATGTCCCAGAACAACCAGAGAAAGCCTCATGACATGGGACTAAGGCCTGCCCACAACTATGTGAGTGAGCTGGAAAGGAACCCTTTTGTCTCCAGTCAAGTTTTCAGATGAGACCACAATGCTGGCTAATAGCCTGACTGCAGTCTCACAAGTGACCTTGAGCCAGAGACAACTACCTAAGCTGTGCCTGAATTCTGACCCACAGAAACTGTGAAGTAATAAATATTTGTTGCTTTAAGCTTCTGGGTTTGGAGGCAATTTGTTATGCAGCAATAAATAACTAATACACCTTGTAATTTCCCAACATATTGGCAGCACCTTTGTAAATAGTCCTTTAATTGTCTTCTTCAAATTATTCTAATTTGACTATGCCAGATGTTTCCTGCTGGGATCATAAATAAAATAATATTTCCAGGCATCTAAGTAAATTAAATGCTCTTCTCAGGTTCATTTCCCCTACGGCATGAAATGAATAGATCATGATTGAATACAGAAATTTCCCTAACTCTTTGAGACCTCTAGGTCCCTTGAAAGATTCAGACTTATTTTCCAATGGTGGTAGGTGGGGAAATTTGTGTTTTTAAGGATTTAAAAGAAAATCAGCTCCTTAGCTTTAAGGTGAGAGATGGAGGTTGCCACTTCTTTTCCAAGAACATCCAAAAGCACTGGTGGGCAGCACATCCAGGCTAACAGACTTTGGATTAAATGGCTAGCAAGTGGGTGGCTCCTTCAAGGACTTCTTCAAGGACCCAGTGTCCCAGGCATGGCTGCTTAGATAAGAGGAAGGAGAATCTTCTTCATGGAAACCCATCCTCCTTTGTGGGACTTCACAAGCCTTGGTAGCCAAGATGTCACTAAAGCTGGAGCAGCTGAGAGACAGTGAAAAGTCAGAGGAGCAGTGACAGTATAAGGTGGTGACAGTGGTAACAAACAGGGTTCTTTAATTCTTGGTAGTGAAAGTCAGACTGCCAAACCCCTCACCTCATTTCCTGAACCCTCTCCACAGACACCTGAGACTACATAAGGTTTTGGGTTTTGTTTTCTTGACAGTCCAGGTAAGGTAGAAATGGGGATCAAGTCAATACTTAGTTAAATTAAGGACACTTTTTAAAAAAATAACGTTGCTTGCACTTAGCAAAATGGGAAATAATTGATGACCTGTTATAATGAAAAAAAACCAATGTGATTACTGCAGAAAGTTCAATAGCAGAAGGAACTTCCCAGGTGCCTCCACCTGAAATGTGACAGGGACCCCAGCAGCATGGCTCCTAGCAAACTTCACTGAGTGATCACATCCATTATGTCAGCAGATTTCTGTGTGTGGTCCAAGGCCAGGCTTTGAGTAGTCCCCTCATCGAGGTGTTCAGCACATTCTTGCCAAATAAATGAATAAATGGAGGGAGGGATGTATCCCAAGGCTGGATTGGTGTATGAAACCACAGTGTCAGAGTATTAATTTAATATATACATATATACATATATATTTATGTATATACACGTACATACATGCTATAGAAGTAGGAACTCAAAGTTGTGAAAAGAATATCCTCTTCTGCAGGTATTTTATATATGCCAAGATTGATAATAATCCAGTGGCTTGCAGAGTACAGGAGTGGAGAAAGGCTGTTCAAATGAGTCAGCTGTTCAGTGATATTAGCTGAGGGGGCTCAGCACTTTTGCCACTGCTCCTTCTTCTTTTCCCTCTTCTTCCTCTTCTTCTTCCTCCTCTCCTCCTCCTCCTCTTTCTTCTTCCTCTTCTTTTTTTCTTTTTTTACAGTGCTAGCCTTGACAATGGAATTGGAATATAGCAAATCCTGCCTCTTGCTGCGTAGTGCTTGAATGGTCACTGCTCCCATATTCTCCAGGCTTCTCCCTTTTCTACACTTCCATGGTTCCCTTCTCCCCTTTCTGATTGGGAATTTCTTTATTTAAAGATATTCCCTGGTCCACATTCCATTATCCATGATTCTGAAATCCCCAAAGATCTGCAAACCAAAAACTGTGGTAAATTTAGGGCAAATCTGACCTGAAATAACATGAAGCTATTTATAATCTTCATTTATGCATCCTGGTGTGAGATTCATACTTCCATTGCACAAATATTGATGATTTTCATGACACATTATGCTAAGGGTATTACATAATGTGTGCTACATGCATTCTTTTGTAAAAAACAATCTGAATTTTGAAACAAATCCTGCCCCTAGGGTTTCAGATTTATTAAAACCCAATCTTCCTAGCTTGGAAACTCTTCTGTCTCTTTAAGATGACTTTGCACTTATCTGCCTTGATCCTTTCTTTGTTGATTTTGAGGTCTAACTCTCAGAGAATCATTTTACTTGCCTTGTTTATCAGTTTGGGGGAACTCTTCACTGTAATCCTTATGAGCTGATAATTGGGAGCAAGTAGAAGATCTGTGCAGAAGGAGAGGTGGGGTG